ACATGGAGGGAACAGGGACAGGGACATGGAGGGAACAGGGACATGGATGGGCCCAGGAACAGGGACATGGATGGAACAGGGACATGGAGGGGCATGGGAAGGGGGACATGGATGGGCCCAGGGACATGGAGGGAGTGGAACAGGGACACAGAGAGGCACGGGAACGGGGACATGTAGGGGATGGAACAGGGAAATGGAAGGAGTGGAGCAGGGCCATGGAAGGAGCAGAAGAGGGAATGCCATTATTCCGGGAGGCTTTTAGCAGCAAGGTGGTCACCTGCCACCAAAGTGCTGCTGCTTGTACCCGGGATTTTGGCCAGAATTCAGCAAGTGGCCTCATTCCCTGGATGCCCCCGGTGGGAGTGGGAGCAGGAGCAGCAGAGCCCCCATCCCACATGGAACATCTGCCTCCGGGTGGAAGGAACGAAGCCCCGGGACACCCCCAGTGCTGTCACAGGGCTGTGCACGGGGATGGATGTTGGGATAACCAGCTTTGGGAATCCCCATCCCCTCCCAGAGGAGGCCACGTCGTTCCGTGCTCCACACCCAGTCACTGGTTTTTCCCCCTCCCCTTCCCGGCCCAGAACCAGCTCCGTGCTGGCCCCAGGACACGGCTGGGAGGGCAGAGGGGTGGAGGGCAGGTCCCTGGGGATGGCTGGGTCATGGGGGACCTTGAGCCACTTGGCATTTCCAGGAGGAGATTCCCGTCCCTGGCAGTGTCCAAGGGCAGGTCGGATGGGACTTGGAGCAATGTGGAATAGTGGAAGCTGTCCCTGCCCATGACAGAGGGTGGAACTGGACAGGCTTCAAGGTCCCTTTCCACCCAACCCGTTCCATGATTCCATGATTTCTGTCCTCTTTGTCTCTCCTTTCCACACGCTGAGGCTGTTTTGCACCTTTCTGGGCTTTCTCCCTGCACTAGGTGACCTTGTTCCTCATGGAGCACCGGGATGGCTGGAAAAATCCCGTTCTTTTCTCCTCCAGAAAGCACACGTGGAAGTTAAAAGCCCCGATGACTCAGCCGACCAAGAAAACCCACTTTATCCCGCGTTCCCACCTACATTTTCACTTTCTTTTCCATCAAACCGACAATTATTAAAATATTCTGGGTAGAAGAGGCAGTTTGGGGGCTTGAAGGTGCCCTCTCCGGAGCTGGAGCAGGAGCATCATCTCTGCTG